AAAAAAAAAAAAAAAAAAAAAAAGAGACGAGATCAAAGAGAGAGAGAGAGTCATGAGGTGCAAGAGAGAGCTAAGCAACGACAAGCAACGAGATGAGAAGAGGGCAAACGATTAGGTGTAAGAATGTTTGATTTATTCACCATACTTAAATAGTGTGAAAGTTATCTTATTTATAATCAAATAAATTACAAGGATATGAAAATAGTAATAAATGGAAATAACAATAAATCGGAAGATAATTTGCCTTATAATAAAATGACAAATATAATATATATGGTAAACTATAATTTATTATTAAATATCCTTAACAAGGTGAGACGAGGAGATGAAATGATTGATGTTGTGGAAGCCTGAAGCACCAAGGAGACGAGTTGTTCGAGAGTCAAGTGCGAATGAGAGTATGTAAATTGTTGGTAGTGTGAGCAAGATATGATGTGAAAAAGAAATTGGCTTTGCTCAAACTACATGCGGCCTAAGTAGATGGAATTAATTATTTTTTCGAGCTTTTATTGGTTTGATACTTTCTACCCCAGTTACAATACGCAGTCATAAAAATAATAAGTACAAATTTAAGGAAGAATAAGGACTCAGTAAAACATATCTTAGTCGAAGTTATAACGATATATACATCATTATATTTGAGCTCTTACTTCAACCCGCATGAAACTTCAGAAGGATATGAATATTTATTGGGCCTGGATGTGAAAACTGTTGGGTGTTTTGGATTCTTAGTTGAAACTTGAAAGGGCCTAATCTGTTATCATTCGGTCATTTCAATCAACTAACCCAGCGAGTCGAGAACTCCTCCAATCTTTGGATCAAAAAGAGCGCAGAAGAAAGAAAAGAAAAAAATCTTGTCCCGATTTCGGGGTGTGAATTGCTCTGTGAAGCCACTGATAAATCTCAGAACGAACCCATTGTACCAATCCACCGAAAATAAGGACCCAGATCATTCACAGAGACTGAACGGCGAGAAAATTACCGGTGAACAGTTCTAAGAGACTTTCAAAAGGAACCGAGAAGCGTCCTTCATCCTTCTTCTGTTCTTCTTCCTCCTCCTCCTGTTCTTCAGGTAGTATTTGCAGTTTGATATTATGCTCATTTCTTTGCTTTGTGTGATTTTCCTGTTTGGTTTGGCACAAATGTGATGCTTAGAGAGTTTTGTTCAGAATATTTAGAGTTGGGTTTTCCTTATTTGGATTTTATAGTGCCTCAAATGGCTATGAATGTTGTTTTGTGAATCGAATGTGTTAAAAGGAAGACTCTCTACAATGATATCATATTGTCCATTTCCTTTGGGCTTCCCAAAAGGTCTCACACCAATGGAGATGTATTCCTTTACTTATAAACCTAGGAACATTCCTTAAATTAGCCAACGTGGGACTCCCTCCTAACCATCCTCAACAATGTACCATGAAAATTTCGAAAATAGTTTTCCAATTGGCTTAAAGATTACAAAAGTTGTATCATATTCATCATTAATCGATACTGATCTCTTTTATCATGTACATCAAATGTTTGTAAAAATGCCGCATCTACTCAGGTTCATGTTTGTTATGAAATCCTGCAGTTTCTATGTTACGTGAGCAAGCGACTCCAGCTCGATACTTTCCAACCCCATTTCTTTCACAAGACCAGCACTGTGAATGTAGACCTCAATTACAAATACTTAGGGGATGATAAAACATCCCAGGTTAGAATTCTCTCGGGGAGATCCCACATCAGTTGGAAAGGAGAACTAAACATTCTTTATAAGGGTGTGGAAACCTCTCATTAGTAGACATATTTTAAAACCATGAGACTGACGGCGATACGTAACAAGTCAAAGCGGACAATATCTGCTAGCGGTGGGGCTTGTGGGCTATTACAAATGGCCCCCAAAGAGGGTGGATTGTGAGATTTCACATTGATTGGAGAGGGAAACGAAGCATTCTTTATAAGGGTGTGGAAACCTCTCTTTATTAGACGTGTTTTGAAATCGTGAAGCTGATGGCGATACGTAACGGGCTAAAGCGGACAATATCTGCTAGCGATAGGCTTGGGATGTTACAATATTGGACTATAAGGGTACTTTGTGGTTTTCTCAAAAACCCAGTCAATTGACGCTTGTTTCGTGAATGGCTGTATGTTTATTAGGATGTACACTCATTTATTATTCTAACAATGCTGTTGTGAATTGTAATCTTTCGATGAGAGTATGCTCAATGAAAGTAAGAGATTACACTTTTTACCAGACCGATAACAATTCACAACAGCATTGTTAGAACAATAAAGGAGTGTACATCCTAGAAAAACATACCGCCATTCACGACAGAACGAGAGTTTTATATCTTTAAGAAAACCATAATGTCTGTGCTGGTGTCTGTATTCATGTTTTTTTCCAACACGATTATACATATGCAAGTATTTATAGTACCTGCGTCTCCACTGCATTTGGGAATTCTAATTAATGTCTCATTTGATGCCCATTATGAAGATGACACTAAATAGGAGGTTGATCGAGGAGTGTTTGAATTGATGAAGGGAGCCAAAGCAACCATGAGCTACACCCTTGATCGTGAAATATCGATTGCTTGTTGAACGAAACTTGCATAAAGCGGTTGAGTGGCTTGGTTTATTATCATCGTAAGATGAACTAAACTTCCTTTTCCTCACCATTCTTATCAATCAATATACAGATGAAAATCCGTATCAATTATATCATTTCTGTCATATTGAGTAAATACAATCATTTTGCAGATCGTTAGTGGGTGAGTCGAAATAGGGCAGTGTGGGGCTGAGATGGGGATGGGGAATTTAAGCCCCATGTTGGACATGTTCAGCTAACAGGGAGGAATATCTCCTTTCTCATGCTTCCTCCCTCATTACCCGCCCATTTAAGATGGGTTCCTACGACCCTCTTTCTTGTAGGTTAAATGAATGTGAGATCCCACGTCGGTTGGGAGGAGAACGAAGTCATTCGAGATGGGTTCCTACGGCCCTCTTTCCTATAGGTTAAATGAACGTGAGATCAACATTCTTTATAAGGGTGGAGAAACCTCTCCGTAGCAGATGCATTTTAAAAACCTTGAGGGGAAGTCCAAAAGGGAAAGCCCGACGAGGACAATATCTGCTAGTGGTGGACTTGGGCTATTACAATGATCGATCTCTAATTAGGATATATTCATTGATTAGTTCTCTAAGCAAGGAGAGAACTGTAAAGTCAACCAGGCTGCAATATAGACGGTCTAAGAAGATAAGGGTGCCAACGTAACAATGATTCATGAGACTTATAATTCTTTGGGGGAAGATGCACGGAGAAAAACAAGTGAAAATTTTGATCCTAAGAATCTTCTACGACTGTTCTTGTGGGCTCCTGAAACAAAGAGGCTTTTAACAGTTCAAGAAGAGTCTGAGTTGATTGTCCAAATCCAGGTATGCATGTGAAGGCTATATTGTTTGTGTGTTTTCAGTTTTCATGTCTTCAATTCATTACGCTTGTTATACGTGCTTGATAAAGTAACTTTTAACAGGAGTTAATGATGTTGGAATTACAGTTGAGAGATTGGATAAGTTACTTTTTATGTCGTGAATTTCATGTTCATTGCAGCAACCTGTATGGGCTGACCATGATACCACTTTTCAGGTATCTTTCACTTCTCTTTTCTTTTGACCTATGAAATAGGACATAAAATTGAACAATGACAGGATACGACTTTAAACATACTGATTTATGAATCTAAGTTTTTGGATTCTTACCTTCCATAAACTTGTACGTGAGATTCCACGTCGGTTAGAGAGAAGAACTTTATAAGGGTGTTAAAACCTCTCCCTATCAGACGCGTTTTAAAAACCTTGAGGGAAATCCCGAAATAATAAACTCAAAAAGAACAATATTTACCAACACTTAGAGCCATGCAGATTTGCTAGGTTACCAGTGAAATTTACTTTATAACAATAATTATCATCTGACAGGGAAGCTGTTTTAAATGTGAGAGAATAATGATGTCAGGAATGGTGATCATAGTGATGTATTGCCATTATTTGAAAAATCCATCTTTCTCAGTTCCATCATTGGTCTGTTGTCCAAGTTTTGGTATCAGTTCATCACTGGATAATGATTATAAGTTGCTTTGCTGGCGTCCTTTGAAGATATATTATAGTGTTAATAATTGAATCACAGAAAATGCATATAGATACACTATCAACCCCCTTAGATATGTAGTTTGTTGATTCATTTAGGCATATGATAAACTAGCTCTATCTACCAGAATCTGAGAATGCATTCTGAATTATATTACAGGAAATAACTGCAAACTTTGAAGTCTAAGGCACATTCGGAATCTCCTTGGCATTCTCGATCCGAATGAGAGACAGATGATCAGACTACGATTTGGGCTCGAAGATTGTAAAGAGAAGACTTCGTCGTAAATAGTGCAAAGGTGTGGAAACATTCCTTATAAGGGTGTGGAAACCTCTCCTTAACAGACGTATTTTAAAATCTTGAGGCTGACGGCTATACGTAACGCGGGCCAAAGCGGATAATATTTGTTAGCGGTGGACTTGAGTTGTTACAAGAACCAAGCCTTGTACAAGCTTAAATGATGCTGCAACAACCAATGACTCGGTGACTAAAACACTATACCGAGCGGGAAATCGCCATCAAGCTCGAGAAAAAGAAGAAGAAACACAATTCTAATGATTGTATGGATTGTGAAGGATGGATGGATGGAGACCCATCCATTCTAAACGCCTTTCCTAAGACCAAAAAAGACCAACTCATGCTGCCTTACCACATGGCAGGACCCATTTTAATAGCATCTCCACTTTTCTTTTCTGCTTCCCTAAATATAATAATATAATTATATACACTCTAAATTTATTCCATCTTTATTTTTATACCTTTAATAAATTTTAAAATTAATTTCTTATATTTTTTTCACTGATATTCCGTTATCATTTGATCAATTGGCTCGAACACTAGACTGCTCGTGCTCGTTCCTATAGCCATGCGGGCTCGCCCCTATGAGAAAATCAAAGTTTTTCTTGCTCTGATTTCGGGCATTAGGAATGCCGTCTTTCGAGGTTCAGGCTGGCAAGGTCGGTAAAAATTAACTTCAAACTAACTATAAATCTAATTTTAAGATTTAAAAATTAACTTCACCTTCTTCGAGTTATATTCCAATTATGTCAAATCCACTATAAGATAGCTCGTTTTCGGGCTTTTGATAAAAAAAAAAAAAAAAAAAAAAAAAAAAAAAAAAAAAAAAAAAAAAAAAAAA